AACAGAGCAATAGACTCATTTAGAGAACCCAACGAAAATGCTTCTAGTGGCAAGATTCATGGCTGAGTGTCTACACACAGAAGAAGAAATTTGAAGACTGAGGGTATATCCATTGCCACTGTCCATGGGGTCCATCTGGGGGCATTCTGGGCCATCAAACACCGTGACTCCCAGGGAGGCAGGGTCTGATTTAGAAAGTTCCCATATACTGTCAATGTCTCATGCTTCATCAGTTTGGGAACACACAGAAGCCTACTGTGGTAGAGAGTGACAAATCTGCTGTTGAGGTCATACCAATATTCAGGACAACATCCAGTTTGGCCATTGCGTGAGTGTGGGTGCCAGGATAGCTGTCAGTGGTCTGACTGAACCCCTTGTTGACTAGGAAAATGGGGACTTCTCTGCAAGGGCTGAGGTTTCGTGGGTTGCGGTATCTTTCCTTATTCATCTTTCAGATCTCATCTTCACCTCCCAAGGAAGTCCCCTACACTCAGTTATTTTTAATTTACAGCTGTATCCTCCTCCCCTTCCCTTTATTCTAACATGCTCTGTTCTTATCAATTTAATGTCTGCATTCCTGCTGGCCTCTCTGCTCTGGGAATAGAGAAATCGTGTATCTTCCTCATCAACATGTTTCTAGTGCCTTGCATGTTGAAATTTTAAATTGAAAACTTCTCTTCCTTCTTCCCTTCCATCACCTCTCCCTTCCCCTGAAGCGCCATTTCCCTTTGAAATGGCGGACTCAGAAGCAGGCCAGAGACCTCCCTCACTCTGTCTCTCTGGCCAAAGCCCCAGGTGAGATCTCTGTTGTGAGGAGCAGCGGCCACGGGACGTGGCACTCAGAGGGGATGATGTGACCCTTGCTCTTTGACATACTCAGGTAACACAGGTGTCAGCCAGGTCCTCACTTCCTGTCCTTCTGACAGGCAAATGACACTGGCTCAAACTTCCATTCTTTGTGGAGCAGGACCTCTCTCCCCACCAGCCAAGCTGCCAGTCTCAGTAGGGATTCTTGAAAGTCAGACATATCACCAGGTCACTCAGGCTGTGAGTTTTGCTTGCAATGAATCCTGGATCTTTCATCTGGAAGCTTGCC